CCATGGTTCTCTGGACCGATCTCTTTAAGTCAAACACTTTTCATTTAAGCGTGTCCGAGTTGTCTAACTTCACTGTTAAGAACAACAAATTCAAGAAAAAGCACAATATAGAGCAAGAAAATACTTCTACAAGACAGAGAGTTCATATTTTACTGCAAATAAAGTCATACTTGTTTAGTACAGACACATATTCCTATTTTCACTTAAGTTATTTAACACCAAACATTACAGTTTTTTTCCCAATTACAAAGTACAATGGACCTGACACTATTTCTCAGGAAATAACTATCAGCATTTCCTGTGCTTGTGGCAGCCAATCCCAAGCTGGCTGAGTCCTAGACATGAACGCTTTCAGCGGAATGGCATCACTAGATTACACCAACTTGTAGGAACTATTAAAAGGCTCATTGAAACAAATGCCATTCACTCATTCATAAAACCTTAGTGCAGCCTTGCAATGAGGCTCTGAAATTGTAACCTTGTTATAAACTTGAGCAGCATTTTGAACACCACATGACATCACTGCCTATGATTCTCTGTGAAATATCTAGTCAATTTTTAAAGAAAATGAAATAAAATGCTTCCGTGTGGTACCTGCTTCTGCTGTTTTAGCTTTATTCCAGCTCAAAGGTACTTTCTAGTACCTTTAAGACAAATCCCCTGAGACACACAAACTCTCTCTCTCTCTCTCTCTCTCTCTCTCTTGTCCACATACACACATTTACATATTCTGGGTCTCAGGTCTAGGTGATACAAGTGGTTTCCAACTGGCTGCTAAGGTAAGGGGTGGCAATTAGAACACAGCCAGGGGATCTGCAGAAAAAAAGGCCTGGCAAACAATTTCCAGGAAATAAGAAATTTGACCCCGAAAGCCCTGTTGAGTCTTTCTCTTCTGCAACATATAAACAGTGCTAGGAAAATTATGATCATGTCTTGGAATCTACTACAGAGCAAAACAACAGCATTTGTATAGTAAAACAATCTTGAAATATTATGGCTACAATTTAGAGCCCAAATTTGTCAATTAGAATAATTCAATGAGTGAGGATGAGTGAAGACTTTCCTGTAACTTCTAAACAAGAGCTACTGGAAAACCGTCTTTTAGAAATCTGCTCTGATGATGCTAGTTCATCACACACTGTTGTTACGTTCCGTGGAGTAGGAACCCACTCCAGCAGATTTTTCAGAGGCTGTAAACCTCAACAGGAGGGATGTTGCCTACCTTCTTTCACACAACACTTAGTGGATTTGCACAACCTACCTATGGGTTGGTAGCACAACTCCTTATCCACTATGCCATCAAAGCTTCCTTTTCATCCTATGAGTAGGATGAAAATCCAAAATATGTATAGTTGTGTACTTTCAAGTCAGAACTGGCATATAGCTGACCTTCCAGCAGGTTTTCAGGGGCAGTAAATTGTGTGGGAGGAGACTGCTCATCTTTCTCCCACAGAGCAGCTGGTGGACTTGAACTACAAACCTTTGTTTGGGCAGCACGATTCTTTACCACTAAGCCACCAGATTATAAGTACCCTAATTAATCAAGTATTAAAGTTGTGTCAGGGCCAACCATATAAATTTTTTTTATTTAAAAGATACTGGCTAAAGTAAATATAATGAAATCAAAGCAAATGAAAATCAAGCAAGTGAGATAGAAGTGACATATGAGATTAAGTTTTGCTACTTTGAGTTGACCACCTATAGTCAAGTTGAGCTCAACTGAAAATAGCTCTTGGATTTTGATGGCAGACAAAACAGTTATTAAATTTTTTACTCGCATAAAATATCAGTACCTTTTAAAGCCTTCATAAAATTAACAATATAGTCAGTCTAGAATAGATAAAAATATATGCAACATATTTGGAATAATTACTATCTTGAAAAAATGGAAATAACCTCAAATATTTCATGTAAAACAGGATACACCTTTCTGCTTATTGTATTTGAAAAAAATAACATTGAAACAATATGAAAAATATTTCTAAACTTTCAAAATGTATGAATTTTAAAAAATGTCCCTCCTGGAAAATTTAGGTTTATAAGATTGACATTTATCTGTTTTTTATCTTTTTGTATAATTTCACATATTATAAACTGAGTACACAAAATGGATGGCAAAATGGTATTTTAAAGGTATAGTCAATTACCTTTTTGTGCAAATATTTTTTTGAAAACTGCTCTTCATACATTTACACTCTATAAAATTTCAAGAAGAAGTTTTCCAAAAGGTGCCTGTTAGTTTTATCCAATTTAAAGATTCAAGAACATGTCTTCAAGTGGTAAAATCAAAGCAATGAAAAACTGTACCATAAGGTTAAACAATAATTATATACTAATAGATATACTTCAATACAGTACCCAACAGCCTGACAAGGAAAACAATCTCACTAAGATTTATGCTGTCTCTCCCTCCTCTATCATATGAAGACTCATACTAGGTGCTTTATATTTCCTTTTAATTGACACATAAACCACTCTGTATCACAGTCTGTTCTTAACCATTGGTTCCCAAATCAAGAACCATATTTCAGCTTGTATTTCTTAGCTCTACTGCCTAAGCAATATCTGAACTGTTCAGGGGAGGAATTTTGACAATGAGATTTTAAGATGATGCAAATGGTTTACAATGAACTTCTATGTCAAGAGATGGACTTACACTTCAGAGATCATACTTCTCTGGTGATAAAGAAGATGTTACAAAATAGAATAAAACTCTTGAATAATAAGGAGCTCATAACGAGCACTACTTTAAATATGCACAATGCTAGGGACACAACGTAAGGTTGCTACCACCTTATATGCAAGGAACCCTGACTGAAAAGATTGTGAGTCAAAGTCACTTAAATAATGACAATCACTTAGGCAGAATCAGAATTCAGAGAACAAAGGCCTTGCACTTTCTTGGTAACCTTGTCTCTAATCCAAGAGTATTCTGGCATTATCTTCTAATCAATGATGATATGGTCATGGACATGCCTTCTTCATAGGAGAGACCAGGCTGCCTGGAAAATTCTCCAAACCAAACTGGGGTAGATCACTTCTACCATTTGAGGAATGCAATTACAGTTCTCAAAGTACAAAAGAGTTATAAAATCAAGCCATGAATGCAAGCGATATGACAACATGCACTAAATTGGTCTTTACAATGCATTCTTTGTCAGGTCAAGCAGAAACAGCAAGATTGTTAAATGTGAAAATTCATACATGTAACAGCAGTTCAGAACATTGTTTATTTCTTCCTTATCTATGACAGAAAAAGCCCTACTTCTATAAGCCACAATTCAGAGAAGGTTTTCAACTAGGCTCTATTTAAAGTGAAGAGTGAACATGTTTTCTTAGGTCTTGACCATACAACATTTTCATACCATTTCACAATCTTGGCCCCACAGGGTATAAAATGACGATTAAATTTAAACCAGATGGAGCTCTTCTTAATAGGAGTTACTTCAGTCACAGATTTTTATAAAATAAAGAAAACCCAAATAGGTAATTTGCATTGCAAGCACTGGGCTGTAGAATTCAACTAGACCTTAAAGACATTATGGTAACCATCAGAAGTTCAAAATTCACAAGGTGATTCATAGTTATATTTGCTTCCTCTATTTTCGTAATTTCAAAAATTCCAATACTGAGTACCACAAGACCACTGAAAAGGATTATCTTCTGTTATTCCATTTATCCACTGATTTGGGTGATTCTAATTAGGAGCTCCGTGCACCACGGGAAAAGCTGAGATATTAAAATCCCTTAGACACTTGGTTAAAATTAAGATAAGTAGTTGCTTGTGATTAGCTAGTGTATGTGCTTTCTGCTTTTCAACACCCCCCAATGAGAGTATAAATCATGGTACATAAAATTAATTACAGTTTTCCTTGCACTTTTCTAGAACTTAGGCAGTAAACAGAACACATTTTATAAATTTATATAACAAAAATAAATGTTTATATTTTAATCTTATTTAGATTACCTCCAGTAGCCGTTAACTTAAGAAATCCACAATGTGTAGCCAACAGAGATCATCTGAAACACCCATTCATGGCCACAGCTCTTCAGATGGTGTTCAGGGCAGTTGTCTGGATATGGTCGTGCTCCAACACAAAAGATTAAGGCTCTCTGTTTTGAAGCGGTGATCTCTGGGCTAAACCAAGCATACAAGTACCACAATACTCATCAAAAATACTGAAAATGCTTGGAAGAGTTTTAAAATACTGAGAGAGGGAACAAAGGTTTGACCAGAAAAATAAAACATCTACAGCTAACTCAAAGTACTTTGAAGAGAGGCTGCTCTCATGAAGTGCCAAATCATAAAGAGTAGAGAGAGTTGAGAGTCCAGGGAAGCCCCTATTCCTATTCCCCTGTGGGGTTCCCATGCTCGGGCACCAGCAGGGCAGCACTCAGTAGATTGGTGAGCTGGGTGGTATTCTGTAACCACAGTTTCTCACGATCCTGGGATGGGTGGCATTCTCGAACCACATCTTCTCACTATTCTGGGATGTTTAGGTTGAAGGCCAAAGTCAAACCATGTGGGAGGATCTCTGTGGAATAAACCATCTATAAATTGGCAGATTTTGAGGGAGATAAAGTCACACATTTTCAAGGTGGGACCAGGTAACATAAAAAGGATGAAAGAAAAAACGTAGATTTTTCTGAATGGCAGTATTCAGGCAGACTGTGGCCTAGTTCTTGATGACTGTGGTTCTTCCTAAGATTCTGGTGCTCCTCACTGACCACATAAAAACAGTCAGAATGGATCTTCTGCAGAGGGTGAGGGAATATGTACCGTGAGAGGGTATGTGTGTCCTGTGGCGGGCAGGTGCACACTGGGGTGCAGTCAAGAACGTACCTCACTGGTTCAAATCCTGGGAAAACAGCCACGGTGTCTCCAATTGTCTAAGGTTTACTAAAGCAGCATATAAAGTGTAGGTTTACATCGCTTCTGGTCTTCCAGAGCAGAAATATCCCCAAGTGACTGAGAACATGGGACCTGGAGTTCTGGGTTGCTAGAGTCTGGTAATATCTCTGCACTGCTGAAGGTCCCCAATGCTCTCATAGTCATTCTCTTTTGGGAAAAGGCCATGGGGACAGTTGGTCTCCTGTGTGGCCCTTTCTTCCTCTCTGTTTAGAGTCTGTATCGCTTCATAATCGGGCTCTGGTTCCTCACTGGATCTCTCTGGTGGAGGTGGTGTGCTGGTGCTGTTTGGTGTTTTCTCAAAGTCTTTTACTGTAGCATAGAGATCATTACAGGAAGATGGGGATCTCTGCGGGCTTCCACCTTGAATACAGGTGTAGGTGGACTCCGGCACTTTGAGTGACTGTCCTGATTTATTCACCGACTGTCCAGGTTTATTCACTGATGAGTACATAGCTGAGATCTAGAAAACAGAGGGGTAACTGAATAAGCAAGTTCAGATTATCACTTCCTCTCTCCTCCTCCTTAGTGACAAATTACATACTTAGCATTTATGGGTGTATCTCTGTGTACGTATCCTCCTTTTACTATTTATTCTTAGTTATCTACACTAACCTGGGGTATATTAGCACAGATTAATGACAACATTATCTTCAACTTTGAAACGAAATTTTTAAAAACTAGTTTTGTTGAGATATAATTTGCATACCATACAATTTACCTACTTGAAAGTGTACAATTCAATGGCTTTTAGTATAGTCACAAAGTTATCAAACTATCACCACAATCAACTTTAGTATATTTTTATCACCTTGAAGAGGAATCGCTTGGACCTTCACTCTCTCAACAGCTCCCTCATAGCTTCCACAAATCTACTCTCTGTTTCTGTTGTTGTGTGCTGTCAAGCTGGAACTGACTTACAGCTGGCCCTCCAGAGGGTTTTCAAAAGCTGTAAATTCCATGAGAAGAAAATGACCATCTTTCTCCCATAGAGCAGCTTGTGGGTTTGAGCTGCCTGCCTTTGGGTTGCTAGTGCAATTCCTTACCAATCAGCCAACAAGAGGTCCCCTATATATCTGTCTACTTTAGATAGCTCATATAAATGAAATCACACAATTTGTGGTCCTTTGATTTGCATGGTTGTATTATATAGTTTTCACTTAACATGCTTTCCAGATTCATCCAAATTATAGCCTCTGTCAGTGGATTCTCTTCCTTTTTACGGTTAAAAAAGGTCCCATAATTCAAATGTTCCACCTGGTGTTTATCCATCAGTGAGGGACATCTGAGATGTTATCCTTTTTCACTATCATGGAAATTTCTGCCATGAACATTGATGAACACATTTTTTGTATAGCTACAAATTCTTATTCTCTTGGATAATACGCATAGCTTTTTAAGGAACTGTCAACTAGTCTTTCAAACTGGCTATTAGGCAGCTCTGGTTGACCTAGTGGCAAAAAAACTGCACTGCAATCCCAAAGCTGTTGGATCAAATTCACCAGATGCTCTGCTGGAGAAGGAGGGGAAATCTCCTTCACTGGTACACAACAAGGAAAAAAGAAAAAAAAAACCCAAAACCACAAATAACCAAAGTGGCTATTTCATTTTACATTTACACTGGTAGCCAATGAGGGCTCCAATATCTCTAAATCCTTGCCAAGTCTTATTGTTTGTTGTCTGTTTTTATTATAGTCATTCCAGTGAGTACGGAGTGGTATCTCTTTTGATTTCTCTTTCTCTGATGGCAGATAATATTGAGCACCTTTCTGTACTCAGGGAGCTCTGGTGCCATACTGCATAGGGAGTGGCATTTCTAACACAAAGGTGGGACTCTGGTTGTTTGAATCTCACATGGCTCTGAGGAAGGTGAGCAGCCTTTCACGTGATTTACAGCCTATAAATCCAGGGGAAGATCAGCTGGGAGTTGGAAGCAACTCAAGGACAAGGAATCGGAGGCCTTTTTACATACATGTATTGGCTATTATTTTTGGTATGTCTTCTTTGGAGAAATATTGGTTCAGATCCTTTGCTCATTATTTTTTAATTGAGTTCTCTTTTTATTACTGGTTTATATTCTATTTACACTTATGATGCTATTAATTAGACTAGCCACATTTGCATAATTACATAAAAACTGAGTGCCCTTGAAGTTCACTGATGAGCAGAAGAGCAGGCGGGGCACACAGCTTCCGAAGCCCAGGACCTGACCAGCACAGCCTGTTTTATCTGATGTCTGTTATCAGAATTAACATTTCATCTGAAAAAGGGCAGTGAGGGAGTCACTTTGAGAAAAGTGTGGACCTTGGGCAGGAGCAGCGGGATCTGGAAACACTGTAAGAAACACAAATTCTAGTGCAGCACTCAGGATCTGTGAAACCAGAAACAAAAGTGAGGGAGGGGGCAGGTTAGCAATCTCTGTGTTTCACAAAACTGTCAGGAACTGCCCCTGAAAGTGTGAGAGAGCCCCTGGGGAAGAGAAGGCGACCCTTCCTGTATCAAGGTAGCCAGAAGGCTCCTTCCTAGCATCCTGACTGGCAGGCCACATGTATGTAGAAGAGCATTGTTACTTATTTCACTGACTTTGTTATTGTTAGGTGCCATCAAGCTGATTACAACTCATGGGGCAGTATGAACAACAGATGTGAACCTTGCCCTGTCCTGGCCGCCCTCACAATCTCTGTAATAATGGGCTTTAGCCCATTAGTCACTGTGTCAACCGATCTCGTTGAGAGGCTTCCTCTATTTTTCTAACCCTCTACCTTTCCCAACATGATGTCTTTTTACCAAAGACTGGTCTCTTCTGACAACATAAAACCAAAGCACGTGAGTGGAAGTTTCACCATCCTTGCCTCTAAGAAGGACCCTGATTGGACTTGCTCCAAGACGGAGTTGTTATTTTACTTAGTTACATGCAATTGGTTAAAATACATTTATAACTCACTGCTACTGAGATGGCTCTGATTCATAGTGACCGTCCATCGGGTTTCTGAGGTGATACATCTTAATAAAGGGACACTGTCTCTCGGTCTCACTCAGAGCCACTGGTGGATCCCAAGTACTCGAGAAATGGGTGACCTTCCGTTAGCAGTGCAGCACAGACAGACGGTCCCACCAGAGCCAGAGCGCCTAGAGGTTTAGAGACTGGGCTTCATGTTCTTCAACGAGGAAATACTTTTTTTTTTAAGTTGCAACCACCTAACACATGTCATTTTGAGACAATCAACATAGGACATGCTCTTTTTAATGCTAAGAGTTGGCCATTTCCCAAGGCCACTAATTCTATTTCTCTAAAACATTTTGTATAACCTCTAATATCAAAATAGATTTCATTTTGCTAACAATGGAGCAAAGGCTACATGGACTTGCTCAGTATTATATTTATTATCGGAAACTATGGCTGGACACGGCTCCTTCATTACCTAAGTTTCTTTTTGAAAGGGGGAATGAGTCATAATGACTACTGAGGAAATAAATGAGCACCCTTCCTGACAGATGCGTGCCTCCCAAACTGCCCAGGGACAGTTTCCAGCTTTTACATATCTCACAGAATGTGGGAGAAGTTGTTCAGCTGGCCTTAGCGGCCTCTAGCCTGGTGCATGTCACTGGTCATTTGCACGAGAACTTGCCCTTGCCGATTCGTGGCTCAATTTTTCAAGTAACTAATTTTTTGTGGCTTTATTGTGGTAATAAAAACATAAAAGAAAACATTGCCCAGCTCAACTTTTCTCCCCACCAACAATGACAGTGACCATGCTCATCACATCGTGCAGCCACTACCGCCACCAAGTTATTCAGGAGCAGAAGGTCCATGCTGACGCTCCACTTTCCCAGTCCTTGACAACCCACCCCGTTAGACTCTCAGACCATCTTTGGAAATCTTTTGTCATGTTAATTGGCCATTTTAATGAAGATTAAGTTAAAACATTCTCCCCTTAGGAATTTTAGTGGAGAAATGGCTTTCAAGTTAGAACCCCAATTTCTTGAAATTTAGGAAGCATCAAACAAAATACTACTTTTCATAGTGAATCACAAATATACAAACATATGCAACACATTCCACTAGGAGGTAGTCCAAGCCAACAATGTAGACAGATTGTAGAGGGTGAAATATGATGAGGGAACAAGAATATTAGATATTTGTTCCTCACCTTCGAGAGCATGTTTCAGAAGACAAATATGTCTTTAACTGCTGTTTAGTTAATGCCAACTAATGGTGACCTACCACTGAGTTTGTGAAAATGTAAATCTTGATGAGGAGGAGACTGGCTATCCTTCTCCCGAGGTGGTTTCAAACTGTTGACATTTTGGTTAAGAGCCCACCATGTCAGGCACTAAACCACCAGGGCTTCTTATACCTTCACTTGTTGGCAAGTGCTATGGAGTCAGAATCGACTCATCACCTCTCCATTGGATTTTCAGTACTTCACAGAAGGGAATGCCCATTTCCCTCCTGCAGTGAAGCTGGTGATGGATTCAAACTGCATAACTTTGGCTTAGCAGCACAGTTCCTTACTGCTAGGCCACCAGAGAGAGCTCTCACGTTTGCCTAGGTGGGAAAGTAAGATGGGTCCCTCAAGATTATTTCTGTTTGTCTCTATACTTCCTTCCTCATGGCCCTTGACATTTATGCTTCCTACTCTTTTAAAGTATCTTCGGTTTTCTTGGCCTTTATATGCTTTTGTTATTACAGCTTTTTCATGAACCTGTGATGTAATATGGTCTATAAGGATCTAGTGTTATCTTGATTTTCTCATTTGTATACAGATTTCTCTTCAAGTTCCCTTGTTATTAGTTTTTCAATCCTTTCTTTTTTTAAAAAAATACCTCTTTCATCTTTATTACTTACTCTGTCTATTGTTACTGTGTTCTCATCAATTACTCTGCCCTTTTCTACTTTTCTTTCTAGAACCCTTTATCCATCATTCTGTCAGATTAGTATAATTTTATTTACAATCCAATTGCCAGTTTCAGTTTGGACTGTCTTACATATTATGTGACTATAAAGTAAGTTATTTCCATATTTATTTTCCTAAACATCCTTCTTAAAAAGTTATAGTATGTGAGTCACAATTCTTTATTTTATATTAAAAATTCATCAGTAAAAAGTAGATTTTTTAGTCAAAACCATCTAACAAATGTTCCTACTGCCTTGAGTCAGTTCCTACTCACAGAAACTCTCGACTGGGTTTCTGAATTTTTATGGGAGGAGGCTTACAGCTTTCTCCCTCAGAGATTGGCTGACGGATTAAAACGAATGACATTTTGGCAAGCAGCTCAATGTGTTACACACTACACACCAAATGTTAGACTGTTGTTACGTGCTGATGAGTCGAGTATGACTCATGGTGACCCTATTCACAAAAGCTCTGAAGCCTGAGGTATCCTGAGCCAATCTCACTGGATATGATGTACCCACATATACACCTCAGTGTTCACATCTACAAAATTTCCTCTGATAGGAACAGCAGATAGAAGGTATATGTGGCCAGATAAACTGATGTGTTTATGTTTCTGTCTGCACTTAGCTAAATACTTACTGGTTGTTAGAGTTTGACTGTTTCACTGAGTGTTCAACTAGTGAACTTTAATTTCCTTGCTGGCTGTATGTCTGACTCCATTTCTATTTGACAAGCGACCGTCTGAATTTACCTGTTGTTTGTATCCAAAATTCTTCACTAAGGCTGTCTCTCTCTCTCCTCAGGCTGGATCAAGTTTCCTAGGTTCCCTGTCCTAATTTCCTAACTCAACATTCACCTCCTCCTAGTGCATTCTTCCTGATTGCTGGCCAAGCTTCTAAATACTTCAATTTCTCTTTCTGATTCCCATCCCACTTCACTCCCTCCTTTCTCTCTCCTCCTGATTCTTTTTTTTTTTATTATTAATTTTCTTTTACTTATCTGATTTGTTCTTTTTTCTTTCTGTGCTATCCCCTGCTTGTAACTTTCTCTTTCTCAGACATTATTAAACCAACATCTCCAAACTTTTATCTCAAAAATATGCTTCAGAGAGTATTTTGGCTTTTTCAGAGAAAGAGTAAAATTACAGTGCATATTTTGACGGGTAGAGCCCCATCCTTAATTACACGGGCTTTCCAGTTATAGAAAAAGAAAACATACCTCTTCATCTGTGAGCGTCGGGTCTTCCTCCCGAGATTTGTATGACAGCGAACTGAATCTCTGTGAGAACAAACCAAGTCAGATGAAAAGGGGCTTTATGTCATTGCTTCTACTTTTTCTTTGCCTGTTTTGGAAGCATTTGTCTATAAAATCATTTTCAAATGCCTTTTAAAGATATTTGTGATGTGGCCACAATGGAGTTATGTGAAGCATTTGAGAAATAAACATTTATAATAAAATAAAATGGCTTGATTTTCTTGTATTCTTAGTAACAGCATGCCGACAGAAATGTTTAATAATTCTATATTTGAATCTGTGGGCATAAATAACCAAATAATCTACTGTTTTTATTCTTGTCAATGAAGAACAGATGACAAAAAGAAAATTCCACTTTAAAAGAATAACTTTTAAAAAAATTGTTTTTAAGTCAAATGCCTAAATGACCAAATGCTTACATTTTCTATTTCAGCTGTTTGGATTAGTCATCAAGAAGACCCTTAGTCACTGAGAAACTCTTCAAGGCTCATGAAGAAATCAGCTCCTATTTTGTGAAGTGTGAGCAGTGTGGAAGGGAATATGGTGATTGTTCAGTCTTAAAGTATAAACAATTTAAGGACATTCTACATGATAATTACTCCATTTGCTGAGAAGAATCAGTCTCTGAACTGTTGGATAGGGAGTGAGGTGAAGCTGGAAACATGAAAATTTTCTTTGCAGAGGGAACTGGATTCTTTGGTAGCCATGAAAGAGAGCGAGAATCAACTTTGGTCAGGACTGAAGGACCTTAAACTGGTATCTAACAGGACCCTCATGTCCACACCTAAGAATTCTGTTCTGGTATGTAAACACCACCACCACCACCACCACCACCACAACAACAACAACAACAACGACAACAACAACCCCAACCCCTAAATGAACCTTTTCAGATTTCTCCCAAAGATTGTTCCTTTAATAAACTATCCTTACATACTTCACTACCCCTTTACCACTGAGTCCTAAGAGCATCGTTCTTGTTCTAGTTTGCTGATGTTGTTACGTGCCCTCAAGTCAAAAGTGACTCACAGCTGATCCTCCAGCAGCTTTTCAGCGGCTGTAAACCACGCAGAGGAGACTGCCCAGATTTCACCCTGGGAGCAATTGGTGGGAATCTAAATAATGGTGATTCAGAGAAGAGGTTAGTGAATTGACTTTAACAAAAAGGATTCTCTCTCTCAGGAAAAGAAACTTAACACGAATTCTGGCCAGCTTATCTGACTCATGACTCATCTCTTATATATACATGTGATTGCTGTTCAAGAAGGCTACTCAGACCTGAAACAGTGATTTGAGCTAAAAGTGGAAAATATGCCACTCTGCAACCCTCATTGCATACTCCTACGATAAAAATAATGCCCTAAAGTAGAATACTTTTAGACTATTCTCTCCCCATAGACTTCAATGCCGTAAACATATTTCATCCAGTTTTTATA